TTGGATAAAATAATAAGAGATTTCACAATATTTGGTTGACTGAATTCATTTATTTACCTAGGTAGGAATCACATGAGAAATAAATTATACATATTTACAACGAACGCTATACAGCGAATGACTTAGAAAGGCAAATGAGATGATTTAGTCTTTGGAACATTTTACTTCTTGTAAGCGGGGGCAGAGTAGGCAGGGGCGGCGTAGGCGGGGGCACCTCCTTCCTTGCTGACGACGGCTTCGAATCCGTGTCCCTTGTCGGAGTAGTGGACGGTACGTTTGCTGCCGTCGGCTTCGACGAGGGAGTAGTATCCCTGGACGTAGTCTCCGTCACGGGTCTCTTCTTGGCTCTTGATGTCGTAGGTGTGAGGGTCGTTTACGGTGTAGGCGAACTTGTAGGCGGGGTGGGCGTCGGGGTAAGCGGGCTCAGCGTGGTAGGCGGGAGCGGCGGCGTATCCGTATGATGGGGCCTTGTAGGCGGGAGCAGAGTAGGCGGGGGCGGCGTATGCGGGGGCTACTGGCTTGGAGACGTAGGCGGAGGCCACGGCGGGTGCAGCGTAAGCGGGGGCGGAGTATGAGGGGGCGGCGTAGGCGGCGTTGTAGGCGGGGGCGCCGTACTGGCAGTTGACGATGGCCACGAGGGCGGCGATGATGCAGAGCTGAAATAAGAGGAAAATAAAATGAGCAAAATGCATTTTTCCGATCATGCAAAAATTGTGATTTTTTCCTCTCTTTCTCTCACCCTATCCATGTTACAAATATAATTTTTGGAATTATTTTTTTTTGCTACGAATACTTTAATGGGAACCATTTTAGTTGATAAAGCCACTTTGGTGAACCCATGATATCACTGTCACTATGTATATTTCACCATATTGTAGGATGGATCGATTCCATGTGTTTTATTCATCGGCGGCAAAAGAGATTATATACAAAAATGATTAAGAAACTAGTTATTTCACTGTACCTTGAAAGCCATATCGTTGGTTGTTTGTGCTTTGTTAGGTTGAAGAGCCGAAGAAGAAGTGACTTTTGGACTTACGTTCATATCATTTTATAGTTGGAACCCGCAAGCACATCATCGTTGTCAAAGCGGAACGTGGCCTTGGTCCTAACCGTAAAGCAGAGGCCGCTGCATGAAAAAAAGCTGTGACTACGTGGGGAGGGTGAAAGTGACCAGCGTTTAGAGAGAACAGGTGCCTTATGCCTAAAACGCATTTTAAGTATCTATTGGCGTTGAAATTAGAGTCCTTCGATCAGTGTCCCCTCCGGTGTGGAAGTTATTCAACCACACATATCACACATCTGTTTTTTGTGACGAATGGCTAGATTTTCTGATCGAAAAGTTTCCATAAAACAAGTGACGTTAAGGACCTTTTAGAACTTTACCTTGATGCGGGTGAATATTTAATCACAGAAAAAAAATAATTATAATTTCAAGCATATTCTTGGGTGATTTTGATCCTAGTTAGAAATGAAATGGTGTGGTTTCGTCATCCAGAAATTCGTCGATTCAACCACATTACTGACCAACTCAATCATAACTCTGTAAGGTGCAACGACTTTTCTGACTGGATCAAATCAGCCTGGAATATATCTGAAATGACCGTACACTGGAAAAAAAAAACACATTGGTTCTAGAGTCCAGACTCTTAAAAACATCGACAAGAAAAAATACTCTTGATTCAATCAGATTTAAGCTTAAATCAAGAACCAAGCCTCTTAACCTGAGCGGATTTCCTTTTGATTTAAGCTTAAATCTGATTAAATCAAGAGTCCTTTTTTGTCAATGTTTCCAAGAGTCTGGACTCCAGATCTAATATGTTTTTCTTTCCAGTGTACCCTTCTTTTCCGTGATCGATGAGTAAAGTAAAAAAATACGTATCTCCATCAACATTTTTAAAACTTCTCAGCCTCCCAAGTTCGTATTTGTCTGGGAAAAAAAAAAAAAAATCAAAATATTGTCTCTGAGTGTTTCTTGAATATTTGACAGACGAAGATTGGTGGATAGTGAAACTTCATATTGCAATCAGTAAAAACTACAGCATTTCTAACTCAGTTTAGAAACAACGTATGCACAATTAGTTTTCCTATAAGTGATTTTGTCGATGATCCAGAAATTTTAGTTCCTAATTGTAAAATGTAGGCCAGTTCGCTTTTACAGAAGTAAATAATTATTGCCGATTGACAACTCCGTATTTAGAGAGACGCATTTTTCTTCTTCAGCCAGCGATATTTTGAACATTCCAATCCTATACTGCGGTGCTAAGGAAGAACGTCGTATGAGCCTTGAGACGTTGCCAAATTCCTTCGATAAAGCACGAATTTGCAGAGATGCTCGTGCATTATTATCTTTGAATATTCAAAACAATTTAAGTCGCAAATTATTCTTAAGTATGTGAAAATATCAACGAAACTTATTCTTAAATTTCCTTAAAAATCAATATTTTCACAGAGAAGATATTATGGCACTATCCGAATGTTTAAACGACGCTTTTCCTTAGCACGACAGTGTAGCACATTGATGAATGTTGATATAGTTAAAGGAGAGTCCCCCTTGAAACTGATATGACTTGAATTGATGCAACTTTTATCGCCCTACAGACGTCCAGGTTGCATATAGATCAAAGTGAAGGCACTAATGGTTTTCCTTCCTCTGCTTTGAGCGTTTTGACTTTATTTTCGAGGGTGCGCAATCGATTTCTCTGGAAACCCTTTCTTTCTCGACCTAATAATAATCCGTCGAGTGTGCCTTACCAAGATCTCCCGCTCATTATACTTACAATATACTGCCGTCCGAAGCAAGCAAGCCGTAACTTCATTCTAAATATTTTTAATTTTCCGTGAAACAATCTCCTGTCACGTATTAAAAAACCAACGGACGTTTTAGAGTTTCTGCGACAAATGTATATCATTGGAAATTCAATTTGAAAGAATGAAGTATCGTAATGACCAAGTTTTTGTGTAATAGAGCAGCATGAGTAAAGGATAAACGGGTGTATTTCATCCAAATGCAAAATCTAGAATGAATTTGCAGCTTTTTTGCTTCAGTGGACTTTGGGTGACTTGCCACAGGCATTATTGGGCTTCGAGAGCAGAAAAATCCGCGCCTAGAGTCTTCATCCACACATATATGATTGGAAAAACAAATTAGGTAGCATTTACCATATTCTGGTTAATAAAGGGCACAACCAGAGAGTGTGGTAATTTTCATGAAAATTATCGTGAAAGTAACAAGGTTTCCCCTTGTGACAATAATTTCGGTGGAAGTTACCATACTGTCTGGTTGTGCCATATGGTAAATGCTACCCAACTTTTTTCCGTGACAGAGTGGCGGGAGGAGCTTTGGACCTTTCTGCACCCGTCATCAGCTGAAGCGGGCACGTGGGAAAAGGAAGGGAGGGGTGGCATTAAACATACACTCCGTGCGCTTCGAAAATAGCACGCCACGCCAACTTTGAACGGTCATAATGTTTGGTTCATTTGTTTCCTCAAATTGAACGATAGCTCGTTTTAAAGCTTAAAATAATAGCTTTCATTTAAAATGGTTTTTGTAATGATTCCTGGGTTCCCCATCACGAAAAAACTTGAAAAACTTAATTTTTTGGGCTTGAAAAATCAAACCATGATTTTCTCCACAGTGAAAGATTACCAAAAATAGACTATAATGTACATAAAATGGAAAGTCTCGTCCAGAGCTTTCATTTTAGACCAAGATCAAGTTGATCCGTTGTTTCAATCAAAAGTTATGGCGGTCGGTGCGTTTGACCTTTGACCCCCCCTCCCTCCCCGCCTGGAGGGCTAGACGAGAAAGGTCACCGGATTTAAGCCTCTCCGATGATCCGTTATGACTCCTGAAAGTATTGATGTAAAATCTCTTACGGCCATTTCCTATTGAGAATGGGACAGCCGCTTTCTGAGGAAAAGTTGTGCCTTTTGAATTGTGTATTTCTTGGCTTCTGAGTTACTTTTTCACGTTTCTTAATGTGTGCATTGTATTCTACGTTTCATTTACCTTTGGTAAAGGGATCTCCAGTCAGACTTCGTTTATGGTTTAGTGACCCATTTTGGAAAAATCAAATTATTCGCACTTGCAACATGCTTAATAAGGGATGTATTCTTTCTCAAAAATCGTTTATGATCTCTAGCACCAGGCCTTTTTTAATATAGGTTTTAAAACAAATTACTCTGCAAGCAGTGAGTTGTCACATGGTTTCTCCTTGATTTCTCAAACGGTTCTTTGGTCCTTAAATACAATATATAAAAATCAAACACCCGGCCAGTAATTTTATTCATATCTGAGTCACTTTGTCGATAAATATGTTTCGGTCGCCTGCCGACCTCCAAATTTTCGCACTATTTTGATACTTACAAATAAGTAAATAAGTAATGCTAGACGTTACTCTTCTCCCTGTTCTTAACATATTTTGTCAATGATTTTTGAAATATTTCTTGGGTAATAAATTATTTTCTTTCCATTCCAACATTGTTTACCAAGAAAACATATTGCATACTTGAAATCAAGACAGGAGCGCAAAAAATGGATGCATTTCTGAAAATATTGTATAATGACTCATCACAGTATATTCTCCAGCAGAAATATAAATATGAGCTTTTGTAATCATTTGATCTGAAGCCCTTCGAATGAAGATGAAACATTATTTTCCTCGTAAATTGTTAATTATTTATACATAAAAATATTCAAATAAATTTATTTCATTTTATTATTCCTCTTAATCATGTTTTGTCCTTTTGATAGGCATATGATGATAACCTTTCGGATCGTTCCATAAAGCGTGTCCGTAACCTAAAGTGGGGCACAAAAATGTCCCTGGACACATAACCTTTCTTCATATACGTTTATACACCCGAACCAGAACCCTTTTTTGACTAAGTAAAAATCTCTGCCGATGATTTGTACAATATTCTGTTTTGTAATATCATCACGATTGGATAAGGAATGGATAAGGGATGGACAAGGGATTTCATAAAATGTGAAATTGTATTTGGTTGACTGAATTCATTTATTTACCTAAGTAGGAATCACATGAGAAATAAATTATACATATTTACAACGAACGCTGTACAGCGAATGACTTAGAAAGGCAAATGAGATGATTTAGTCTTTGGAACATTTTACTTCTTGTAAGCGGGGGCAGAGTAGGCAGGGGCGGCGTAGGCGGGTGCAGAGTATGCTGGGGCGGCGTAGGCGGGGGCACCTCCTTCCTTGCTGACGACGGCTTCGAATCCGTGTCCCTTGTCGGAGTAGTGGACGGTACGTTTGCTGCCGTCGGCTTCGACGAGGGAGTAGTATCCCTGGACGTAGTCTCCGTCACGGGTCTCTTCTTGGCTCTTGATGTCGTAGGTGTGAGGGTCGTTTACGGTGTAGGCGAACTTGTAGGCGGGGTGGGCGTCGGGGTAAGCGGGCTCAGCGTGGTAGGCGGGAGCGGCGGCGTATCCGTATGATGGGGCCTTGTAGGCGGGAGCAGAGTAGGCGGGGGCGGCGTATGCGGGGGCTACTGGCTTGGAGACGTAGGCGGAGGCCACGGCGGGTGCAGCGTAAGCGGGGGCGGAGTATGAGGGGGCGGCGTAGGCGGCTTTGTAGGCGGGGGCGCCGTACTGGCAGTTGACGATGGCCACGAGGGCGGCGATGATGCAGAGCTGTAATCAGAGGAAAATAAAATGAGCAAATTAGGAATTAATGAATTTTTCATGCAACAATTGAACATGCAAAAATTGTGTTTTTTTCTCCTTTTTCCCCCTCACCCTATCCCCGTTCCACACTTCATGTTTTCCGATAATGTTTTAAACAGTTAAGTATTTTTCATTTGAAGATGGTCTGAACTTTAATAGCCGTTTTCGGACTGAAAGTTGAACCAATCATCTATTATTTACAATTTCAGTCACGTCTCAGCTGAATTCCGTCAGTGCATCAGAATAAAAAATAATTAAACTTCAATTTCTACAAATTTCTGTATTTTTTCACGTATTTTGTTCAAGAAAACGCAACGAAACTTTCATGAGTCCAAAAAATGTCTGTGAAGATATGGGATGAAAGTGTCTTTTAAATTTTAAAGGAGGTCAACAGTTTACACTCCGTTTCCACTCAGCAGCGATTTAAACACGAATTTCCTGGAATATATTTTGCACTCTATTATGTCCAAATTAAATTTAAAGTCACTGAACATGAAGATTTGAAATATTCCGACGTTTTCAATCCTTGAAATAAACCGTCTAACACAACAGAATCCATTTTCATACTTTAATTTTAATAATCGATGACAAATTATTAAACACAACTATAAATTTGATCACTTCACCGTACCTTGAAAGCCATTTTGCTGGTTATTGTATGTTTACTGGAAAGAGCCAAACAAGAAGTGATTTTTAAACACGAATACTAGTTGATTTTATACTCAAAATCCGCCTGTGTGAAGTCACCAAGGCAGAACTTGGTCTTGACCTTAACAAGCTGAAACCGGGGAAAGGCCGGCGCGCTGTAAAAAAGTAGTAGCCACGAGAGAAGGGTAAAAATTGGAATATGAGGGCACCTACTACGTCAGTAATGGAACATGCGGGCGTCGCAGACCTCCAATATTCGATTTTAACCCCCCAGGCATGAGGACATTTTTTCGGTCAATTGTTACGAACGTGTAATTTAAGATAGTCTCTATCATTTTCTCTCGTCGTTTCAAATATTTCAACCGAAATCTATTTGGTAATTTTTTTTAATATGCATTTATTTACCAAACAATGAGTTATTGAAGTCAAGTTATTTTTATTACGATCATTTAACTGGATTGCATCTTGCAAAAAGGAATCAGAAGCATTGCCATATTGCTAAGATTGTGCGACTTCACCCTTTGCAATAAAATTACTGTAATCATGCAAATAAGTGGAATTTACATGGTAATGTTGGTCTTAAATTTACAGTTTTTAGCGTGTGTAATTTATGAAATAGAAAATTTTATAGATGACCAGGTTCTTCTTCCAAGACAAGAGAAGTTGCACAATCTTAGCAACATTGCAATGCTCTTGGTTCCTCTTTGCAAAATGCAGTCCAACTATATGTCCCTCCTTGCCAGTAAAATAAAGTCAATTGCACTGACTGACCACCTGTAATGTTATCGGTAACCCAGGTTTTCCGGGTCATGATTGCCAGACGATGGTTTACCAAGTCAGACATAATTTGTTCCCGAATGAGGGTGTTGGGCAAACCGCGATGCTTCGGATTGTTCTTGGTAAACTGAGGTTCGCTCAAGCAATTTTCTAGTAAACCTAGGTTTAACATCGGGTGGTCGGCAAACGCCAAATCTTAATGTCTTACTAAACAGCATGAAGTTTACCAGCCGGTTTGCACCACAATGCAGCTATTTTTAGCCCAGGCAAATCGGTGATGTCACCGAGAAGACTCAAATAACTCTCATATCGACTACCCTGTCAAAATAGTGCAGTTTGGTAACCCTCACTGGAAAAAAAACACATTGGATCTAGAGTCCAGACTCTTAAAAACATCGGCAAGAAAAAGTACTCTTGATTCAATCAGAATCTAGCTTAAATCAAGAACCAAGCTTCTTAAATTAAGCGGATTTCTTTTTGATTCAAGCAAAAATCCGATTGAATCAAGAGTATTTTTTCTTGTCAATGTTTTCAAGAGTCTCGACTCTAGATCAAATGTTTTTTTTTTTCTCCAGTGCTGGATCAGGAGTGGGGGATGGCCCATTAATCGAAAGAAAATGGTCAGTAGACACTGTGCTAATGATTCTCAACTTTTCTGTTGAGTGAAACTGAAAGGTGAATGACCTTAAAATGACTTTATATCAGTCGGCTCGGATAGTTCGGATATCAATATTTTAGCATTGAGTAGAAACGTCGTATGAACCTTCAAGTGTTCCGAATATCCTCCAATTAAATACGGATTTCCGGGAAAACTTTTCAGCTCTTATTTCTTAAATTTTCAGAGAATTCTCTGCGCAATTCAATCCAATGACACTAAAAATGCCAAGGATACGTTGTCGTAATTATCCTAAACAATTATATTTCATCAAAAAAATGGCAACGTCTGAATATTATGCGACGTTTTTCGTTGCGGTAAACTTATTTTGACGGCAGATAAGCGTGGCAGGGGTGGTATAGGACACCTTGTAAAAACGCCATATCATGACTGATCGCCAGATCTCGTATTGCCTACAACAGTCTTGAAGTCCGAGTAACACCAGCCGATGAAATTGTGCTCCAGAAAGTTAACAATGAAAAAATCAGAAAAAATATAGTTTTAACTGTACATTTTTAAAAAACAACACTTTTAACCGTAAAAAATGTAAGATTTGCAGCGCTTTATTGCCAAAACGAACATTGAAATCAAACCAAAATTTCATTGGAGGGTTTTCTCATCATAAGGTTTCGCTTGGGATAGATTTACGGGAAATCTCCGCGTCTCTAAGGTAGGGACACTTTCTTGACAGTCCCTTCATTGGAAACCAAGTTTCAGTCATTTTTGCCACACGTATCGGCCAATTTTAATGGTAGAAAACAAGGTAACGAATGCAGTCCAAAACGAAACAATAGAATGTAAAGCAACAAACAGTGAAAACAAGGCTAAAAGCACACATGTTTATACTTGTGTTTTTAGCCTTGTTTCCCCTGTTTGTTGTTTTACATTCAAATTTTATGCCTAACTATTTGGCACTGCTGGAAAAGGCAAGAAGAGATTCGTCGATATATTGCTGATTTCGTTTTTTGGTTTATGAAATGTGTTTTTCCGCCTTCTAACGTGTGTTTTCTTGTATGTTGCAGGTAAGACTTGCATTTGGAAATTTGATCCCGAAAGACCTACAACAAGGCAATTACAGTCATTCGCTGCATGGTTGCAGCGTAATTTTCTGCGGGGCTCAATTTTATTAGAGGGTTCTAGGTAGGTAATTTTTCCGCTTTTCATCACAATGGACCGTTCATCAGAGATACTTTATCCTTAACGCACCTCCTAAATATGGATATTTTTTATAAAAATCTCAGATTGATTGATATGAGCCTAGTTTGAAATCAAAATGCCCAAAAAGTATTGACAATGTCATAGTTTGTACGAATCGAGCCAACGCTGTCGGCGGTGATTAAAATGGCCTCGCTTTTCAGAACAAGTGTTATGAATTTCATAATTTAACCCAAGGAATAATATATGTGAGGGTACGATTCCTTGGTAATTACGAAACATGCCACGTAATGATTTCAAATTTTCCAAAATCTGCAGTCAAACTAATAACCCCTAAAAACTATGCGTGCATAAAAATGTGAAGTGTGTGCAGTGCAGCTTTTCCTCAATTACAGCCCTTTATTTGATTTGCGCTGGTTACTATATGTAGAATCGATAGACTCGCATTACCTTTTACAAGACCATTCACTAAAATGTCTCGTGCATCCATCAGATTATTATTGGATTTATCAATCGCAGGACGTCTTTTGCTTTATCGGCGTTTTCGTCAGCGCCAGTTAAGGAGTGGAAAATCCAAACCTGCTGAAAACAAGCAAGTTGTGCCATCGAAGCGTCTCTTACCTAACGGAAACTACTTCTTAAAAAATTGCACCCCATCTTTTTAAAGATGTAGCAAGAGAACATGTTTTATGAAGGCTATACAGGGTGATATTGCCATTTGAGGTTTCAGGTGCAATATCCTCGTGTCCCTCGTGCCAATGGAGATGTTGCATGTGTGAGGAATTTGCGATTTGACTACTGGTTTTTATGTAAAATTTCGCGAGAAACACAATGGTGCCACTGGTTTTCTCTGAAATGAACTCCCATGCTCAGAAAAAGCTCTCAAGTTGAGGTCAAAATGGAGGGGATATACCACGCTATCCTGAGAGTCTACATCTACATCGAGACAAACTCTTCATGCGAACATAGGGAGCAAATACATTAGCAGTGATGCCGTGTTTTCAGTTTTGGAGTCCCCAAATAAAGTGGCAGCCCTGTCAATGTATTTGCTCTCTATCTTTGCATGGACAGTTTGTCTTGATGTAGTCGTGGACTCTCAGGATAGCGTGGGATATCCCCTCCATTTTGGCCTCAACTTGAGAGCTTTTTTTTGAGCTTGGGAGTTGATTTCAGAGGAAACAAGTGGCACCATCGTGTTTCTCGCGAAATTTTACATAAGAATCAACAGTCTAAGCTCGAATTCCTCACACATGCAACATCTCCATTATCGAGCCCCAAACTTCTAATTTTCTTCATATCGTTTTTTTTCTTTTTCACTTATTACGCATTCTGAAAGGCTTAATTGTATTTAGCTTAAGGATTGGCAGTCATTCTCAATAAATTAAATGTATTCTTATGAATATCTTCCAAGGGAAACTGAGAGTCCTCTTTATTTGAAGAGATTACCTTGGATTGCCTTCATACCCTTTAAAACACGGTAACGGTAATTCTCTATAAAGTATCTCGGCCTTAAAAGGTTAGATCGATAGACACTTGTTTAAAACGTTCGATTAATGATCTCCCTTAAAGTGAGGGGCTGGGAGGACAAGGTGCATAAGTGCAGTTTTTGATTAAATTGAGTTATTTATGATTTCATGTAAAACTAGTCTTAAAGCATCTTCTGAGGAAAAATCGCTCTCAAGTTCCAATTTTTAAACGTCAAAAAGTCAGATTTAACTTTTTTCCGTCATAAGGATTCATGTTAATTCGAAACTTAAAACACGTATTTCTCGAAATAGAAAACTGCACTTATGCGCCTTGTCCTCAAAGCCCTTCAATTGAGATTTCAATAATTTTGAAGCCATGGATGAATTCAGTGCTAAAATTTACTAGTGGTAGCTTTACGTATCATCAGCCCTGGTTCATAACTTACTGTCTCGAAAATTCATGATTCTAATGCAACAGAAGTTTAGGGAAGTCGCCTACTCTTCAAGGCGCAGCATTTTCAGACGCCTTTTTAAGGTATTTTATCTTTTTTTCTTCAAATTCTAGTGAACAGGAAGGACCACCTCAGGGTGCCATCTTAATGAACAGAGTAGACAAAGTAAGCAATTCAGAAAACCGTATTATATGTTTTTTCATTGAAAATCCACGCACAATACGGTGAAAACATTAAAACTTATCTTTCACTCATAAATAAGAAAATGGTGGCTTTTATATGCATCAATGTTAAGTTCCCGAAAACCAAAGTCAACTCGACTCAAATCGGGTACTAAGCTAACAAGTGTATGATCCATGATAAAATACTATTTTGTGTAAGCTGAATTATCTTGTGAGGCTCACAATTTTGAAAATTACAAGGGGAAAAATACTGAATCAAACGCTGATTATTTTCCGCTCGGATAAGATTGAATTCAATGACCGATTGATCTTCATTGATTTTTGTTTTATTGTAAGCGGAAAGTTTGCGTCCGCCGATTCGTATTAAACCCACAAACGTCAATTTTACTTTTTTGAAATTTTACTGAATTTTACTGAATTTTTGAAATGTTTAATGGGTTCAACGTGTTTTGCGTGACATTTTGATGCAGACACATGTCTTGCAGAAGTTTAATTTTTACTCTATCTATTGGTCCCTTGCACAAAAAATTTCGAAGGAATGACAGTCTTACCGCCAATTTTCGCTGAAATTGAAAAAAAGATGTTTTTGACTTTTTGTCGGAGGGTAAAATAATTTAAATGATGTTTGGTTGACTGAAATCATTTATTCACCCTAGGATGAAACATATGAGAGGATAAATTACACATATTTACAATGAGATAGGAAATGACTTAGAAGGCAAATGAGATGATTTAGTCTTTAGGAATTTTTGTGGGTCATTTTTCAGTGATGAAATCTACTTCTTGTAAGCGGGGGCGGCGTATTTGGGGGCAGAGTAGGCAGGGGCGGCGTAGGCGGGTGCAGAGTATGCTGGGGCGGCGTAGGCGGGGGCACCTCCTTCCTTGCTGACGACGGCTTCGAATCCGTGTCCCTTGTCGGAGTAGTGGACGGTACGTTTGCTGCCGTCAGCCTCGACGAGGGAGTAGTATCCCTGGACGTAGTCTCCGTCACGGGTCTCTTCTTGGCTCTTGATGTCGTAGGTGTGAGGGTCGTTTACGGTGTAGGCGAACTTGTAGGCGGGGTGGGCGTCGGGGTAAGCGGGCTCAGCGTGGTAGGCGGGAGCGGCGGCGTATCCGTATGATGGGGCCTTGTAGGCGGGAGCAGAGTAGGCGGGGGCGGCGTATGCGGGGGCTACTGGCTTGGAGACGTAGGCGGAGGCCACGGCGGGTGCAGCGTAAGCGGGGGCGGAGTATGAGGGGGCGGCGTAGGCGGCTTTGTAGGCGGGGGCGCCGTACTGGCAGTTGACGATGGCCACGAGGGCGGCGATGATGCAAAGCTGAAATCAGAGAAAAATGTTGATGTTAGACAATGAAAGTCTTCGTAACAAATCGTCACTGAATATAACCAATGATTTTTCCGTAGCAAGTTACTGAAATTTGACGCAAAAATTGTTTTAAAAGCCCAAAATCATCACTTTATTGACGGTTTGTGTCACCACAACATCTCGAGTCAGAAATTAAATAGATAATTCTGATTTTAGACTTTCAATTTACACCCACAGATTTTATCGAAAGTCTAGTTTAAAACGTCTTTTTGGAGTATAGACTATAGACCAATATAACATTGTGTGTTCAACAATATAGAATAAAGTAACCCTATTTTGATTCATTTCAAGAAAAGGTCTCATAGTGTAACCTCTGCCGTTCAAATAGGGTATTAACTTTAGCTATTGGCCCTGAAATTCACTCTTCAGCAACGCTGTATGTGACCAATTTTGAATCAACAGTGTTGAACCCTCCCCAATCCCCCGACCTAGTGTCAAAAATTTTCATTTTAAAAATCCACACTTCTCAAATGAGTTTATCCAAAGTATTTCAAAATTGCACCACATGTCTCTTTTATCAGTTGTCGGCACACCATAGCACGAAGATTTTTCAGTACACCATTAATCCACAATTGCGATCACACACTTCGAGGTACGCAAAAGAGCATTTCTATGCAATGAGCGCAAACTTTCAAACGCTGAAAAACAGTTGCCAACACATCACTGCACGAATCCGTTGATAGCCGTATTAGACACTTAATTAATGACACTTAAAAATTATCCAGAGGGAAATGAAGCACTGATATACCTTGAAAGCCATTTCGTCTGTTGTATGTGCACGGTAAAGAGCCAAAGAAGAACTGTTAATTTTGGACTCGGGCACCGGGTGTTTTATACATGAGATTCTCAAGTCCATCGTCATCGGAGCAGTACGTGGTATTGACCTTAACTGAATTCCAGCGGGGAAAGGCCGGAGCGCACCAAAAAAACAGAAGCCGCGTGGTGAGGGTGAGATCGAGAGTGAGTAGTAAAGTCGAAAAGTTACGTAAGAAAAGTTGCACTTTTTTTGTCAGACCGGCTGGTCTTCTCACTCGCTGCGCTTCCCCGTAGATATTCGGTTAGTTCTTCTGTACTGGAGTTTGCATCCAAGTGCTCTACTTTCACTCTAATCGACCACTAGACATAGTTGGAATGAATCACAACAGCACATATCTTTCCATTCAGATTTCACGCAAAACGTGTTTAAAATATCGAAAAATCTTATGATTAGGAGGGAGAAACAAGCGTGCGTAGTCTACATTACACTGAAAAAAAAGTTCGGTAAATCCGAACTAGTTAGGATCATATGGACGCATTTCTGCCAAACGGAACTATGTGCATCATGACGTGAGCCCTGTTATGCATATATTCTTATGGGTCTCAGGGCTCATGTCATAATGCACATAGTTCCCTTTGGCAGAAATACGTCCATATGGAACCAGGTTTTGTTCGGTACACACAACCGAATTATTCGGTCTGTTCAACCGTATTGTTCGGTTTGTGCGACCGAACCATAATAAATTCTTACAGTTCAGTTCAGTGGACCGAACAGTTCGGCTGAGCAGATCGAATAATTCGTTCGTGTGTACCGAACAAAATCGTGGTTTCATATGATCCTAACTAGTTCGGATCTACCGAACTTTTTTTTTCAGTGAGAAACAGTAAATTGTTCCTTCCTGCCCCATAGTGGAGTGAGTCAATAGAGGAGTTTGGACATGCCTTTTTGGACTTTAAGTGCAAACTTTAATGATCATTTCGTCAAATTTTGAATTTTTAAGCGGTAATTTCAGTAGAAAATTTGACTGGGAAACTAATGGAACCACTTTTGAAACAGCAACATCTCATATTGATGAAAATATACGCTTTTAAAGGTTTTAAATCATGTCCGACCACTCCCGTTGACTTGATCCACTGTGCGTCCGTGAAAAAACTTTAGTCAACGTAGGCCTAACCGAGCAGTGGCAAGGAATGTTGCAGGTTATCATGTAGTTTTTTGTGCGGAAAATTCATCATTTCAAAAAAAAAAAAAGAAAAAAGGAACCCCAAAAAATTATTTCGTAGAGAGTTAACGTAGCAGAGCGATTCCCGAAAATGCATTCAGCCAATTAGCTAACGCCGCCTGGCCACTTAATCGGCACTCCTCAAAATAATGTTTCAAACGTGTCCTATTTATACCATTTCACAAGAGGATTTCTTTGCCATTTTAGTCAGAAACAAATCTGAAAAATTCCCAGAAGCTTAATTCTCCTCGTACTCGCAGAAAATAAATTGCAAAAATTTGTTCCACTGATCCATTAGGCATTGATTGAGCTTTCACGTCAGGCAACATCATCTATATGGACTACATTTTGCAATTAGGAACTACAATTTCTGGCACACCCGTAAGAAAACTTGAGCGCATGGGGGAACTGATTGTACTTACCTATTTTGTTTCTAAACTGAGCCAGAAATTTCAGTTCCTAATTGCAAAATTTAGTCCACGTAGGACTTGGTTTCACACACATTTCTTCCTTATTCGTGTGGTAATTGTCAGGAATTTTTCACTAATGCACACCTCGTCCATGAAAAATTTCCGGCTATGCAACTGCCAGCTCTCTTCCTGGACAATACGACTCATCAAATTGATATGTAAATATGTGCCCGACGGAATCACTACACTGGAAAAAAACACATTGGATCTAGAGTTCAAACTCTTAAAAATATCGACAAGAAAAAATACTCTTGATTCAATCGGATTCTTGCTTAAATCAAGAACCAATAAGCCACTTAATTTGAACGGATTTCCTTTTGATTTAAGCTTAAATGTGATTGAATCAAGAGTATTTTTTCTTGTCAATGTTTCCAAGAGTCTGGACTCTAGATCCAATGTTTTTTTTTTCCCAGTGTAGGTTAAAAAAATCGTCAAACAGAACCCAGAAAAACATCCTCTTACAATTCAATGAAAATATTATAAGTTCATTTTTTCTGATAGACGTGCTATTTTTCAAAGGAAGACAATTCGACGGTGAAAGTCGGCAATCACGTAACTCGGTTTGCGACGTCGCAGACTTCCTGTCATACTTTATTTTTAAAATGGAAAACTACTCAACGGCAATTCTTTAAAACTGTCATGATATTTCTTCTCAATGCGAAGAAAATTCTGCAAAAACTTCAAGAAATAATATCAATTTGTTTTCCTTTAAAAAAATGACGTAGAGGCGGAGATTTTCAGACACTGCAAACGAGTTATGTGATTGCCGACTTTCACCGTCGAATTGCCTAAGTACACGGCAGCATTTTCTTAAAATTTCTATTTACTAAAAATAAAACCCGAACAAGAAAATCTGGATGATGTCATTCTCATCAACGCATTGCATCATCCCATCGTCAGCTCTAACGAAGCAAGTACAGGTAACGGTGTCGTAAATCAGTACCTGCCTTTCATGCGGTAAAAATTAACTGGGTCATCTGTTTTTTATCGCCTTTTTTTCTGTAATATTAAAATTCTGAATACACTCTATGGGTATTCTGACAGTGACCTTGCTTCAAGTGCAGCTGAAATGGGTATACGAGCGCTGCGAGCTGTATGCTCGGACCGTGGGCCNGGGGGGGGGGGGGGGGGGGGGGCACCAGGATGGATCGCCCCCGGCCTGTTAGTAAAGGCGACCTCTCTTTGCCGATGCCGATTCGAACTAGCCCCAAACCAGGCGCGCGTCCCTGGATTCGAAAATGCTCTAGTTAAAATTAATGAGGCAGATAAGGAAAATTAAACTGACGGTCGTCGAGCTAAAAAATTATCAGCTTCTTTTTCCCAGGTGTCGCCAACGATACACAAATTATAGATCGGCTGCCTTTGCTCCGCCAACGGTAGCTTTCATGCCTCACCTGAAATTGATTACCCATGTAAGGAGAGGATAGACTTGTCGAAATATGAAGCTCTTAGAGCACATGGGCAGCCAACTCTCCAACACAAAACATGTGAGGGCCAAGCTTCAGATTCCAAAATCAAACCAAGATAGCCAAGAATGTTTATAAATGAGCTTTCTCCCGCAAAAATGAGTAAATGTAATTTAAGTCAAATAGACGTGAGATACAAACGACAAGTTGTAACCAGGCCCACAACAAGGGGGAGAGGGGACTGGGTCCCTGGTACCGGGACCGGAGCCACATTAGACACTACTTTGAATTCACTTGCAACCCTTGCCTCACAAGGAAAAGCGAAAAATTTACCCTATAAATTTCACCGGAAGCTCAAATCATTGCTAGAGGATGAAAATAGTCGGTAAGTCGTGTGACCTCCGTAGTTTCCTACGGATCTGTACAATTTTTGGACTTTATTGAAATTCAGAAGGAATCTTTTGGAAGTCCGTTTCCGGATATAAAACATAGGTATCCTTCAAGTGAGTTTGCCTCGAGAATTTTCGAGCCTTTATAGTCTAATGTCGTTGGGTGTGGGTGTTTCCGACCTTTACCTGCCTCTTACAGTTAGTTGAATCATGCTATGCAGTGTTACCAAGAAAAAACTGTGTGACTGGTACAGGGTACACCAGAGTCCATTTTGATGGTGGATCACGAAAGTACGTATCTTGATTTCCAACATAGCAGATTTTTGTCATATTTTACATTTTCAAAGGATGACTGATAAATGAGCTTAGTAATCGGGCAAAATTCATTCTGATCTTTCCTTGCCTTTCAATAATATTTTGAAATTTCCAATGATATTATCACGTAAAAGAAAATGTCAATGGATACTAGATTCCTGATAATAAATGATCTAGAGTATTTGATTATCACTCAGTCGGCAAAAGTAACCAGGCACATGGCTAACGCCAACAAAAATCTAGTACCAAGTACTCGATTTCCAAATGTGAATAATCATGTATAGGCAAGAATAAAAGTACACGTGGTGCCCCAAAAGTCCTGCGCGCTTTCCTAACTTAAAAGAAAAGCAAGAGAACTTAGACTGGGGTTTCTCAACTTATTTGGGAATCGGAGGAAGGACGGAGCTCTTATTATCGTTTAAGAAACAATGTGTACGTGCTAAGGCTAAAAGAAACTATGCAACCCTATGCAAATGTAGTTGCTTTTAGTTTAAATACATTTATTTTTTATTTCAGCCACCCTTTATCTCTAGCTTCAAAAATGAAATTCCTATAAATAATATTTCCTCAACGAATAAATTAAATAATTTACAAAATGTAAAACGATTTCCTGCTAGTCTTTAAAATCTTATCCTGTTGGCATGTATCCATAACTCAGTCATAAGCATTTTTGACACACATATTTTAGACCTTCGTAAGTTTTCTGAGTCATCTTTCAAGATTGTGAAGTTTCATTCTACAAGCTCTTTTTAAATTGTTTCTAAAACATTTTTTTTTATATCGATCTTTAAAATTATCTCTTTTAATTTTCTCCGTCAAAATTATATAAACGCTCAACTGCATGATATTCTTCAAAGTGAAGTACATTTAAACTCGAGTTTGAGAAATATGGAAGTTGTTTTCAAATTTTTAGAGGTATTTCGTAGGAATACTTTTTTTTTTGTGTCGAGTTTACATGGGAGTTCTACGCACATTTGTCTGTTTTTCACTAGTCCAATGAAATATTACCCAGTTTGCGGACCTCCGAGCTTGTTGGCTGCTGATTTTATGCCATTATGAAAACTTAATGCAAAAGTCCTAGCCAATGGCAACTAGAAACTTTATAGTGATACTATTTGTTGAAGCGAGTACATAATTTGACCGTAGACACGCATTAGCAATGTACTTTATTTAGTCCAAATTCTGACTTGATCATACAACTTTATTTAAGTCGAATCAATTTGCAAAAAAAAAAGGAGACATGACTATTCAATTGACTATTTTCATTTATTTACCTAAGTATGGCAATGATCACATGAATGGAAGTGAAATAATTTACACATATTTACACGAAAAAATGACATAGATGAAGAATGGTATGAATTAGTCTTAGAGTGAGAAGAGTTTACTTCTTGTAGGCGGGGGCAACTGGGTAAGCAGGGGCGGCGTATTTTGGGGCAGCGTAGGCGGGGGTGGCGTAGGCGGGTGCAGCGTAGGCGGGAGCACCTCCTTCCTTGGAGACAACGGCTTCGAATCCGTGTCCGTTGTCGGCGTAGTGAACAACGCGTTTGCTACCGTCGGCTTCGTTAACGGTGTAGACTCCTTGGACGTTGTCACCGTCTCGGGATTCTTCTTGACTCTTGACGTCGTAGGTGTGTGGGTCTTGTACGTTGTAGGCGAATTTGTAGGCGGGGTGAGCATCAGGGTATGAAGGGGCGTATCCGTAAGATGGGGCTTTGTAGGCGGGAGCGGAGTAGACCGGGGCGGCGTAGGCGGGTGAGGCGTAGGCAGGTGCAGCGTAGGCGGGTGCAGCGTAGGCAGGTGCAGCGTAGGCGGGTGCAGCGTAGGCGGGTGCAGCGTAGGCGGCGGCTACTGGTTTGGAGACGTAGGCGGAAGCTACAGCAGGGGCAGCAGCATATGCTGGTTTGTATGCAGGGGCGGCGTATGAGGACGCGACGTAGGCGGGGGCGGCGTAGGCGGATTTGTAGGCGGGGGCGCCGTACTGGCAGTTGACGATGGCCACGAGGGCGGCGACGATGCAGAGCTGTAAAAAGAAAAAATAAAAACATGTCAATTCAAAATTTACCTTTTTTCGTTCTTTTGAGTATCAGAGTCCCGGGATTTGAAATAATTTCGGGATTTTGAATTATTTTGAGGAAGAAGAAATGCTGCTCTTCTCAGAAGCAGCTCTTGAAGTTGCGGTTTGCGTTCTTGTGGTACTTTTCACTGGTTTTGAGGATCACCATGTATGAGGAACTGGAAACCATTAGCTCTATTTAACAAACGTCTGAACTGTACTATTTAAAGACCACATTGCCATAGGTGAAGTAAAATGAGTTCCTCAAACTGCCTACCATCCATTCTTCCCGCGAAAAATTCAGAACTTTATATGATTTCTTAGTGCCAGTAGACTTATGAAAGAGTAGGCGGACATAATATGGCCTCCACTTGGGAAAAAAATATAGTGGACCTCATGAATAGTCGTGATTCTATTGAAAACAGGGAGCTGTAATTTTAGCGGCAGATGTGACAAGTACACTTTTCACAAAGATATTGACATTCCATCAAGAGTTTTAGTGATTTTTTTAGAAGTTTGTTCTCTATGATACTTTCTTTGTGCAAGATTTTGAAACCATGATCTATAAGTTTTTTCTATTTTTGGATGACAAAGAATCAGCAAATTGTACTTCAAAAGTTCAAATTAAAGCACATTCAGTTTTTAGATAGAGCAAGCAATGTTTCAGGTAGGGGAAAAAACGCAATATTGCCGTCTAGACTTTAAGGAGGATTTTACTAAAACATTTTTAAGAAACACATCTTTTGACGAGCGACGGTGCAAATTGTCTCTCCGATAATCGTAAAACAGCCAGATTGAAAACGCAATATTTATCTTCACAATATACGCCATTTCCTATGAAGTAGGCAACTTTCACTTGTACACTTTGAATATCTGCAAAGACTTCGATATGAATACACTGAGCACTACCAGCCAGGATCCGTAAATTTTAGGTCTAGAAAATCACTCGCAAAAATAACTTTTCAATTTAGAATGTAATATGAAAAACACTGTAGGAAGCACTAAGTCAATTTCGAGACATACCTTGAATGCCATTTTGTTAGATGTTGGTACTACACCGGCAAGAGTCAAGAAGAAGAGTGATTTCAACCCAGACGATGTGGTCATTTTATAGGTGAAATTCTCTATTTGCAACTGAGCATGAAGGCAAAATTGTCAATGACCTCAGCCAAATTGTAAAGGAGGCAGGGGAGTAAAAAAAAAAGAAAAAGAAAAAAAAATTAAAGAGCGAGGGTGAGAGTGGAGAGATGCATGCATAAGGATTAAACGAGGAAAGAGAAATGAGACGAGAAAAATTGTGTAAGAGAAACGGATTCTGTTCGGATCTCTCTCACTCCTTTCACTGTAAAGCACGCCCGATTCCGTATTCAGCAGGAAAAAAAAAAAAACATCGCATGTGCCTATTGAGGTTGCAAAATTGCATCATTTATGCTCATTGTTTCATTTGAAGTGAAGCAAGTACTTTGGGAAACGTGCAGACAATCTTATTAGTACTTGAGTACAGACGTTGGGACTCATCTCTGACACGTGCGTTTGTGCTCAGAATTTTTCATTCGCCGTAGTAATGCAAAATGATTTTTAGTTAAATTATTTATTTATATTCTGTCTTAAGAAAGGAGTTGTCTAATATTTTGCTTAAAATTCTGTTATTAACTCTTATTACGACTTAAATTTTGAGTGTTTTGAAGGAGAAGAAACTATTGGTATAAGAAAAAGACCCTTGTAAAAGCATTTTATTGTCGCTTTTATTACATTATTTTATAAATCATTTGCCTCCTAAAAGAGAAAAATAATACATGGCCGGTTCTAAAAAATTTCTAAAACTTTTACAACCGTACCTTTTCGGGAGTAAAAAAAAATTAAAAAATCAGGATGGTGAGTTGTATAAGAAACAATAGAATCAAGTGGAGTAGCACCACAATGTAGAAAATTAATCGGAAAGTTGTTTTCTCAGCCCGTTAGAACGATCATTTTCACGGTTGAATTTTTCAGTTTCCATTCACGGTTGACTTTTTCAGTTTCCGATCATTTGAACTCGAAGAGTTCATATATTAGTCAGGCATGCACTATTTTGCAACGTCGACGTACTTACAACTATTTCGGGGGAAGGGGGTCAATTAAGGTGATTACGTCTGCGCGGGCAAGGGGATCAGACAGTTTGACAAAAAATTGTGGCAAAAAATCAAGAGCAGCTCAACCGAAATCAGTTTGCACGATTTGGAGCTTCAGTAATACGGTAATTTCTCGAGCGTAATTTGAAATTATACATTTTACCGCGCGTATCCGTGTTTTTTCTGTTCAATTTCTCTTCCTCCATTCACGAAGTGTGGTGTCATTAATTTCTCGACCAGATGATTTGCATGTGATGATGAGTCTAATAAGTAAGCGGAACTTTATTATGGGGCTCTACTGAATAGTCATCTCTGGAAGTTAAAGAAAATTAATTGGAATGAAAACTCAGTTAGATCTCTATTCCATACACCGAACAGCTAATAGATTGTTGAATCGTTATCAAAAGATTTGTATCAATAAATCCACATACTATGTTTTATATATTTAAAAAAAAACCCGCTAGTGGGCGCGCTCAAAAGAAAAAAAATAAAAAAAATACTCGCGAACATTCTAGCCCTTGTTTTCCATTTATCACATTTAACCAGAATGATCGTGAGTAAAAATAATTTGTGTGTGTGTGTATATTTTGGCAACTTCAATGTTAATGTTATATATGTTCATACATAATATGTGATAGCTTGGTTGTGGCTCGTAGCGGTTCAATTATTCTCGCGTTCATAACGGTTTATTCGCAAGATTTCAGGGCTTTTGAATTTACCAATTGAATTTGCCACTTCAGAATATTAGCGTCTTATAATAATAATTTTTCGTTTTTTCTCATTTATTACCGCAGTTATTTTGCATGTGCACTGCGTATGAAGGTTCGGTTATTTTTTAAACGAGGAGTTAATAAGGACCGTTTTTTGGGCCCACCTTGCATTCCCTCAAGCGCACGATTTTTGCTCATTGAAGGTCTATATTTTACAGGTTGCGTCATACTTAGATCATTTTCAGTCTCTTTTTGGTTCTACATGATTCTGGCTTAAACATGGGTTTAAAAACAGATTTTGACAATAAACGCGGCTTTGCAATCAAATTCAGAAAAATCCGCATTTTTTGGCCAAAATTGACCCTCAAGTTCATGCTTAGGCCAGTATTACACCCAAAAGAGACCACACAATAAGCAAATCATGATGCATGCTGTAAAATATAGACCTTCAATGAGTAAATAACCAAATAATTGAGGAAATGCAGGGTGCGCCCAAAAAAGGCTACCATCGATACTCCACCTTCTAGCTATAACCTCTCGAGTCACGCGCAACCATTCGCGGTCGTAATTTTCTCTGTGGAATGTTTTGTTTTCTTTTTTCGCACCAATTTTGCGTCTGGTCGAGTCATGATGATGATGGTAAAACATTGAGTTACAGATCATAGATGAGTGGCAAATGGAGACTGCAGAGAAAACTTCAGACCAACTGAAAGGTTACGCCATACTGCAAGCACTGATGGGTGCATGCTCGTTGCTGCACTATCCGTCGCCTTTTTGACACAAGGGCGTAACTACTCTCGACGATGAGCCCTGTCGTCCGTACAACTCGATACTTTCCCGGGCTCATCTCAAATTGCTTTCACGCCCTCTCTGTCAGCCAAGCGACGTATTAATGCGAACTTTATGGTTTTGCCGAGATAACGTGCTCTTTTGCTTCTGTTTACTCATAGATGCCAGCTTGTTGGAAAATTGAAAACACTAATCGAATTGCAGTACACGTAAATTTTGATGATGGCATGATAAAACTACAAGGGTTTGTAGGGAGGCTATATTTGTAAAATCGCCTTGGTCAAATACCTTTGTTCATTGTCAAATTTTTTTAAAGATCAGTTTAAGTTTGAAAATGGCTTTAAAATGAAATGATGAAATTGTAATCTTAAACTTTAGTTCGTAGCGAAGGCGAATAAGATGTAACAAAATGAAAAATTCATGAAGTTCTACTTGAAAGTGCTGCATCTCGTGGAATAATGAATTCGCAGACACGACAAGTTATTCGTCAATTCTGTAAAAATCGCAGTTGATGTTTTAGGCGCAAGATGTGACTTTTAATCGGAGCATGCAAAGTAGCATTTAAATAGCATAAAAATTTATTTATTTCTGTTCAATTGTTTGCATCCAGAAAATGAGGCAACCTCGAAACAATATCACTACATCCCTGAGTCATTTTTCGTTGTTTTTAAATCATAGAAATTTAACAAATATAATCATGTACCAGTAAATCTCTACATTTCTACCTTTTCGTTAAAGTCTCTGAATCAGTGAAATCCAATATGTTAGATTTTGGGGGCATGACAAGATAAAGATGGAAAGGTTTAGTTAGTATGATTTATACACGTATCTCTACATTTCTACCCCTCCGTTAAAGCATTTTCAAAAGATTGTAGAAGTGTTCGAATTTTTAAGGTGATACTGGCTACTATTGTGTTAAGGCACCTTCTTTTTTTAATAATAAAAAAAAAAAAAAAAAAAAAAAAATTAATAAACGAATATTCAACCAACCATACAATATACCTTTGCTTGGGTCGCAATTAGTAGCCACAGCAGCGCGGTAACCTTCTCTCTTTGAAATCTATCGCTCTCGAGGTGTTTCTTGTTGATGTTGGCAACGGTGTATTTGAGTTATGCGAGGGGAATTCAACTAAACATTGATCTAGTTACATGTAATTTTGCTGCGTAGCATGTATGCTCTAAGAAAATTTCAGTCTTGCCCCCCGTCTCCCCCGTATTTCTACAGCTTCCAGTATCATTTTCATTCATAACTTCTGTTTACATTCAGTGATGCCACCTTTACAGCCTTTATGATTGTTTCTGCCTTCGAAGGAACTTTTCCTCCGTGAATTTGACATTTCATTCCTATGCATACCGCTGTAGACGGTTCCTATAAACAGTTTTTTTGGTCCCGTCTAGTACAATAAGCGCAGAAACATTGTCACAACATTTTCTTGACCTTACTTTTATTTTACCGTGCTCTGTCTGGTTTTTAAAATATTCCATTGTTTGTCAACCTAGTTTTTAAGTCATTTTTCCTCAATGAGAAAACTATTATGACCGATGATTATTTTTGTTTCCGATTTTCTACACTTTTTGCTAGAACATTGCGCTTATCTTTTTGGTCTGGACTTCTTATTCTTGTTTTGAAATCATGTTTTGTTACGTGTTTTAGTTAATTAAAACTACCAATTTGCACTTCATTTCCTTAAAAAAAAACAAGAAGTCTGTCTCCTCTCTTAGTCCATCTTTGCAAATCAAAGGATCAAACTTCGTACAACGCATAATGTAACACTCTTGATTCTTTTGATCTATAAGAGTTGAATACGCCATAAGATCATCATTAAGAAAATTTGAGCGCCTACAATGTTTTGTGTACAACACGAAAATCGCTTGAATGGGAATAGTTTCAGGGGATGATTAAGAAATGGCGGACGCTTTTAATTTTTTGCATGCAATGCGAATATCCTTTGAGCATAAAAGGTTGTATTCAGGCATTGTGATTATGGAAAAGAGAGTGCCTTCAATTTTTTGCATGCAACATGGTTATCCGTCGAACACGAATAGTTGCATCCAGGCGTTGTGTTTAAGAAAAAGACAGAGCGCTTCCAATTGTTAAAACGCAACACGGACATCCCTTGAAGACGAGTTTAGAGGACGCCCTCATATCAATATTTTGCTTTACTTTTGTTCTCTTTCACCAGTTTTCCTCATCTTTTATCAATCTTGAATTCTTCAACCGAGCTAAGACCTCTCAAAATATATTTTGATCAACTTGTAAGTTTTGCATTGTGCAACGTATCATCAAAATTCAAAATCAAACACGACTCCATTAATTTACGAGCCTTCAAACATTGGTAGGTTTTGATGACAAGCTTTGAAAATAAACAAAAAATAGCTTCCTCAATACTTTTTTCTGTAAGAAACTTGAGCCTTTTTAAACTTCAGTACTCTGTAAGGAAAAGTAACCAAAATTTTGTATCAGCATGGGAACACCGAAAAAAAAGAAAAGTTGATTTAACATTCTGGATGTAAAAAAAAGTGTGCGAGAACTCACAAAATGCTTAGTTACCAGACACATCAGTTTCTTTCACATCTTGACATTCCCAAAATAACTCCCTCAGCTGTTAATTCTGCATTTTGTGCGTTCTCGCACACTTTTTTTACATCCGGAATGGCAAATCAACTTCAATTTTTTTCCGTAATGTAGAACACAAAGTAACCAATCCCTTAAAAAAAATAAACCCAAATTAACCAAAAACATTGTCATTCTGAAGTGTGCAACAAATAAGAATTGGTTTCATTTTCTATCGCTTACGAGAAAATAAGATTTTCTGCCAACTTTTTTTATAATGTTCCTCCATGGAAAATCGCACAGTGGCGAAGGTCAACGCAGCCACCTCTTGCGTTAATTAATCCGTCGGGTTCATT